AGCACCAGAAGTCGGACCGAGCCCGACAAACTCAGATGAGAAGCTGGATAAGATCCTCCAGTTTTTGGCCGACAACAAACAACGAACCATGAACAACGAGGCTTCCATTAAGCGCCTCGAGACGCAAGTGGGACAGATACCCACACGGGTCGGGACCATCGAGACTGAACTAAATAAAGGGAAGCTACCAAGCCAGCCGGAGCATGCAAATGCAGTAACCGTGATTATGCCCGAAGAGGTGAAAGAAGAAAAAGAGGGCCCGAATGAGCGAGGGAGGACAGAAGAAGCTCCACTGACACCACCACCCGAGCCTACTTTACACAGATCCCTGAACCCTTACCGACCGAAGATTCATTTCCCAAGCCGACTCTTGGAGGAGAAGGACCGCACTATGATTCGGAACCTTCATGCGATGTTGGCCAAGGCTAATGTCGACTTATCTCCTCCCGATGTGTTGAAGAAAGTTCCGGCTTATCCACGATTCTTCAAGGAAGTGGCCACGAACAAGAAGAGGTTTGAGAATGGTGAGGAGGTGATTATTTGTGAGGCGGCGAGTGTCTTCCAACATGACTTGCCGAAGAAAGAAAAGGATCCCGGAGGCTTTGTGATCACTATGGCCTTCGGGAATGGGAAAGAGACATCGGGATTGCTTGATCTTGGAGCAGGCATCAACCTCATGCCACTTGCAGTTTACCACCGACTCGGGCTAGGAAACTTGAAGCCCACCGGCATGCGCCTATTGCTAGCTGATCGCTCATACCGTCGACCAGAAGGGATTGTGGAGGATGTGCTCGTACGAGTAGGAAAGTTGATAGTCCCCGTGGACTTCGTAGTGCTCGATGTGGGGAACGTGGAAGAAAAAGGGAAACAACACGCCATCCTCCTCGGGCGACCTTTCATGGCGACCACCGGAACTGTTTGTTGATATCCGAGTCCGGACCCTATGTAGGTACCGGTCCGAGCCGAAGGAGCCGGTCACCAAAACCGCACGTGGGTGCCGAGCTGAAGGAAAGTCAAAGTTGTCTGGGACGGTGGGGAGAACCGGTTCCGAGATCGGCACCGAATCCGTGTGGTTACGAGATCGGCACCTTATTCCCAGCCCCGCGAGGGCGGCTCCTGATAGAAGGATGACGACGGACACGACAAAATAATGCCACTTGTCTATGCATGATTGCCGATGGGATGTCCAACTCAGCCAGAACGTGTCCGCATTTAATGCAGCCCACGTTCGCATTAAATGTATGGCAGGTAATGATTGGTGAATCCGGAAATTACTCTCAATCAGTCAAAGGAGCGCCGGTTTGTCCCGTTGAGCTACTGTGCGACAAGACCGCTGAACAGTACCCAAACAGTACCGCATTAAAGCCGCCTATAAATAGCAACCCCCTCATTTATTTTTGGGTTGTTGAAATCCTAACTACTCGAGAATATATTTTCTCTCTCTAAAGAACTTGTAAGAAACCTTTGTAAGCAATATAAGTACATCGCAAGTGCCGACCTCGTACGAGAGGCCGACCTCGTGATCCATTAATAAAATCGTAATTAAACCGTATTTCCTTGTTTCTTCTTCGTTTTCTTTACATTATTAGACTTTTTAACCGTTGACCGGAAACGTCCATCAACACTGTTATTGATGTGAGGAAGGGGACGGCGACGGCGACCATGGCAGTGTTAGGCGAGTCCATCTCCATCTTCGCTCGAGAGGCCCAGCATAAGCCGCAGGCGAATGTTGTGGAAGACTGCGCTTACCTTAGGGCGATTGAGCAGCTCACTGAGAAAGCGTGCATGCGAGAGCACGCTAAGATGTCATTGCAGGACCGTGTCCAGAGGGGGTACCGTTCTGACCGCCCCATTACCCCTCCCCAGCTGAGTTCGAAGGAGTTGCCCCGATTACAATGGGGCGAGCGATTTGATGTGACAGAGTCCCACCGCTGTTCGGGGCTTGACTACCTCCACCCGCCACCTGCACCACCGGATTCACAGTGACTAGTCTAGTCACTGTGCTCTGTACGTTTGTATCCTTTCCCTTCTCTTTATTTTTGTTTTTGTTTTAGTCTTTTCTGTCTTTTGTGTTGGTTGATTATATGGGTAAACTTTCCTTACACTGATGATCAACAATGGGCACATTGTTCGTTTTAAGTGTGGGGGAGTTTTTTTACATGATTATGTGTCTATATGGTTGACCAGGTCTAGGTTTTTTCTAGGGTGTTTTTCATCTTTTCTATTTTATTTTAGTGTCTTTTCTGAAGTCAGTTTGTTTGTTTTGCGAGTATGGATTATAGTGAATTTTAAGATTTGTTGATGATTGTTGATGATGTTAAGGAGATGTGATGATGATCATGACCAGTATATTTTGATGAACTCGATGCATCGTTTTGTTGGACACTTATTTACCTGATGTGAGGTTTGAGCTTTGGTTGTTTCTTGAGAGATATTGGTTGGATTCGTGTTGATCAGAACTTGCTTTGAGTCTGTTTTGAAATGAAGTGATTAAAATTGTGATTTGTGAAAATGATTGAGGCATTTCTTTGACATTGCTCGTTTTAGCCTTTTCATTGACCTTGAACATATATTATCATTAGTAGCCCGTTGAGCCTTGAACCTTGTTTCTTATCAACCGAATTGATTGAATTTCTTGAGATTTGACAGCGCAATTGTTATGATGACGGGTTTCTACTATGTGTTTAGAGAAGGTTTATAACTTGCTTGAGTTGCATTTTGGGTGCCTGACAAAAAAAAAAAAGGGAGACTCGCAAGACGGATTAAAGGATTCTACTCCGCTTACTTGTCGAAATTCTTTGACGAGTAATGAGTATTGGGAAACCATTCTAGGAAACTTGGATGACCTCCAATGTTTAAACCTAGAGAATGTCGTCCTAATGTCTTAGTCTTGTTAGGAAACAACAAACTCCTTAAGTAATTATCAGAAAAAAAAAAGTCAAGTACTTCATTTGCATTTCAACTTGAGCATGTGTGGGTAGTGGATGGAGTTTTTGGTGGGAATGATTAGTTTCTTGTTGATTACGAATAGTTGGTGGGATATTCAAGTATATATATGCTCGAAAGTGTGACTGTTTATTTGAACCACTTTTTCTTCTTATTTGTCCTTCCTTTGATACCTACATTACAACCCATGAAGCCCTCTTGATTTGCAAGTTCATGATCTTTGATTGTTTTAGAGTACGAATAGATGATAAACAAGCTTATGTGATGCATGATGATCGACCAATTTGAGCGAACCCATTTTATATTCATTCAAGAAACTGAGTGAGGCATATATGTGTTATACTTCCGTACTTGAGAGTTTGTCTTTTCAAGGCGTTGCATTCGAGTTGTAATTAAGGTGTACTATATTGGTCATTGGAAGTCTCCTCGGCTAAGTTGATTAATTTGAGGCTTGTCTTATTTGAAACTGTTATCCACGCTAGTTTGCTTGTTTTCGTGTCTTTTCTTTTCTTTTTGTTCGGGACGAACAAAGGTTTTAGTATGAGGGAGTTGTTTGTCCCATTTTTGTTGCGTTTCTCGTTGTCTTTTTGTCTTTCTTTTTTCCCATTTTAGGTCGTTTAGACGAGTTTTTTGTTCATTTTATAGTTTATTTAACGTTTGCTCTCTTCTTGGTTTTTCTTGTGTTTTTCGTTCGTTTTCCGTTTTTTTTGTTTGTCGTCGTTGATGCATAGGTTGGAAGTCTTGGGAGAGCAGGAGCTCGGAAAAATACTAGCTGGGCAAGCCTAATCAAATAGAGGAGTTCGTTGGGAACACACAGGAAAAAGCAGAATCAAATTCCGAGTTGAAATGAGCTCAACACGAACCCGAGAACCTGTGCAGGAAATCCTTCACCGCGACCGCGGAGTTGAGGTCGCGGTCGGGGTCGCGAGGGCCCCAAAAGCCCATTTTCTAGCCTGTGGATGTCGCGGCCTCAGGGATGGTCGCGGCCGCAGGTGTTCCTTCACCGCGGCCGCGGAGGTCGCGACGTGCAGAAATTTAAGTTCGACTTTTAGATCAGATTTTCATTATCTTCCTTCTAGGTTTTGATACCCTCTCGTACTTTTTCACTGCAGAACTCATTTTTCTCTTAGTTTTGATTGGGATTCGATCTTGGATTGTGAAAACACCAAGATTCGACTTGTGGATTTGGATTGTTCGTTGTTTTTCGACATTGGATTCATATTTAATCGTAAGCTTTCTATTTCATTTTATCTATGATGAATGTTATGGCTTTGTTTGATATGAATGTTTGTGTTGAGATCACTATGAGTAGCTAAATTCTCTAGCTAGGGTTAGGGGATTGTCGTTCCGGTTCGATCTCGTTTACATGCTTGATAATTACTCAATCTTTTCGAGTTGTGCTTAACCTAGGGTTTTAGATGCTTGATCACCATCTCAATCTAATTAATCGATTTTAAAACCGATAGGGGAGAAATCGACCGATCTAGGCTCGTTTAGAATAGGCTTGTTCTGTGACGTATTGCCTATGCGCTGATTGGCTCGATAATTGCTCGTTTATGCTTATTCTCTTGTTTCGTGAGATATTGAGAATGAATCTCTAGATGAGTTAGTTTTTCGAGTCATTTGGTCGCGTAATTGATTGCCGTTAAATGTTTTGAGAACCGGAAACGATTATCCCCGATACCCTAGCCTCACTTATTACTATTTGAATTCGTGTTCGGAGTTGTGAGATTTGAATAGCTAGAATCACCTTTATAATTCGCAGTAGATAAATCAAACCAAATCAATTTGATTAGAGTGTTAGGATTATTTTCTCTTTTGTGATTGAATACACGTACAAGATAATTCGGCTGACCTTCCTCGAGACACGACCCGGTATTCGAATCTTTCGATTCTACTCTGGTAAAAATAACTACAACAATGCACTCAAAAGATTTTTTATCCGAATAACCCTTTCTCCACCAAACCCATCTAAATGGACAAGCCAACGGAATCTAACGTCCGTCAATAAAATACAACGGTGCAAGCTTTTGGTTCGTCTGAAGAAAAAAAGAATGTCGAGATTTTGGAAACCTGGAACAGAGAAACCTCAGCTCGTGGAGGATGAAGAAGGCGGCGTTCTGTTCTTCTCCGCCTCGCCTTCTTCTTCCGGGTGAGGTTAATATTTTATTTTATTTTATTTTTCCTTTTTTTTTTCTCGTATTGTACTGAATTTTTGCGAAATATAGGTATGGGCACGCGAACCTCGAGAAGCAGAGACAGAGGCTGCCGGTTTACAAGTATAGAACCGCCATTCTTTACTTGGTCGAGACACGCGCCACCACCATCGTCGTCGGAGAAACTGGAAGTGGGAAAACTACCCAAATTCCTCAGGTCTCCACCTTGATTATTTTGTACAGACATGAATCGCTTGAAAATATATGAAGTATTCAAACAACTTACTGGGTGTGTATTACTCCAAATATTTTTCTTGTCGTTTTTCGTAAGCTCTTGAATCGGCATTCTTATAGGTGTACATTTTTTTTTTTTTTTTTTATTTGAGTGAGCTGAGTGATCCTTTTTGGAGTAATTGTCTATTTTTCCCGTCCCAATTGGGTTTAATTCTTCAATTTATTCATAATTGGATAATAATTTTTCTTTTTATTGGGATTTTCTGGGTTTTGATGAACTCGGTTTGCAGTATTTGAAAGAAGCTGGATGGGCAGAGGGTGGACGAATGATAGCATGTACACAACCAAGGCGTTTGGCTGTGCAGGTATCATAATGGCTTTCTTTGTTCTACACAAGACCAATTGTTAGATGACTCATGAGAAAGGAAAAAGAATATTCAGAAATTTATTTAGATGACTCTAATGAAGCAAAATAATAGTAAAATGAATTGGAATCCAGGATACCCAATTATTTTCATCCATAGAGTCTTGTTATCCTAGAAATATGCTTGTTTGGTACACTTTTAGATGTGAGTTGATGCGTAGCTGGGATTATGCTATTATATAGTTTCCTTCGCACTGTTCTATATTCGATGGCCTGAATAAAATACCGCTTTCTATTTTTCTTGTTATATGATTATGTAGTAGACCTAGATACCTTTATTTTAAGTTAATATATGCAACAACTGTGTTGTTTGGTGGCAGTATTGGTAAATGCTGTTCATTGAGTATGATATACAGTCATAGGGCCTAAACAAGCATATGGTATCAATGGGAGAATTTTCTAGTTTCCAGTGTTCCATTTGTGACTATTTCTTATTGTGGAACTTATTTGCACCTTTATTTTCCATTTTCCATCTAGATACAAGATTTCATCTAAGTTTCAGTTGCTACCATGAACTTTTACCTTATAGTTGCCCTGTTTGGCACTGAAGACATTCTGTAAGTCTGTTGCATGAACTCCACAAAGTTAACAGTTTATTTGGCATTCAGACAGTTGCTTCAAGGGTTTCAGAAGAGATGGGTGTCAAACTAGGTGATGAAGTTGGTTACACAATTCGGTTTGAAGATGTTACAAATAACGTGAGTATCTAAAGCTTCTCATCTTTGTCAGTGTATTTCATGCATTGTTTAATGATGCCATCATTTATTTATTTTAATTCACTAGGTGCTTATAGTGTTTTTCTTTCTTTCTTTCTTTCTTTCTTTCTTTCTTTCTTCATTTTATGTATTTTCATTTTTTGTCTTTTTTTTATTATTATTTTGAAATGCTGCCGTGGCTTCATTTTACCAGCCAACACCAAGCTTACTTTCTGCATATTGATAAACACTAATTACTAATGATCATAATCCTTTTTGGAAGTAGGAACTTACAAGGATAAAGTTTCTCACTGACGGAGTGTTGCTGAGGGAAATGATGGATGATCCTCTACTAAGCAAGTACAGGTAGGTCCATGCACTCGTAAAATTTGTTGCTCTTGGAGAATTATGAACTTCCTGGAAAAATTGCCTGTTGAGGCCAGATAATAAGTTGTGTGCAAAGCAGTCATTTGTGATCAATGCTTACTGGTTAATGATTGAGATTAGATGGGTTGATCTCTCCTAAATCTCATATTGGGTGTTTCTTTAAGGTGCTTCTTTTTTTAATGCCTTCTTATTTTTGTTTAAATAACTATTTCTCACTTTCCGTACTTTCAGTGTGATCATGGTGGATGAGGCTCATGAAAGGTCTCTTTCAACAGATATTTTGTTAGGTCTCTTGAAGAAGGTACTTTCTTGTATGCGTCCGATTTCTTTAGAAAACACATGTTTATTTCTCTATTATTTATCTCTATTATTGAGCTAATATTTTTCAAAACAGATACAACGGCGCCGACCTGAGCTCCGTCTTGTCATATCATCAGCTACAATTGAAGCAAAATCAATGGCTTCTTTTTTTAATAGCAGGTTTCTTCATGGAATCTTAACTAGTGTCATTTTCAGTTAGTAATTTGCATTGAGTTTCGATGATATCAACATTGTTTATTTTTGTTTTTCTACGAATCCCATACTTGTTTGCTGAGAAATATGAAATGTCGAAATAAATTTGTCCTTTCCAATCTACCTCATCCCAGTGTCTTGAGTAAAATTATCCCAGTAAAACTCTGTGTTTTCATCGACAGTTGCCTAAAGTAGTGTCTTTCTTTCTGAAAAGTTGCTTCATGGGAAGAAAGGAAAAGAAAAAAAGGTGAAAAAAAAAAGAAATAGAAATATTAACCAAACGCACTATAATTGGTATTTTCTGGGTGTATAAAAGACATATCCCTGACCTCTTTTTTTATTTGTTTTATGCAACGCTGGACGAAGTTCTTCACTACTAATTTGATTGCCTTAATTGATAGTCCTAATTGGCACTTTAATCTATGTTTTCAATGATTTCCCACCATGTCATCTTGTGTTTTCAACTTAAGTTATTCTAAATCTTTGCTGTTCTGTGTCTGAGATTTATCCTTACATTTGAGTTTTTTGAGCTTGTTTGATAAAATTTTGGTCAAAGGCGTCAAGGACGAGATGAGGAAGAAAATGGACCTAGTAAAGAGCCTGCCATTCTTTCTGTCGAGGTAACAGATGCTATGCCTCTGATTTTTTAAGTTAAGTACCAACTTGAGTTTTTGGTGAAATTATTATCAATATGGATAATTAATAGTTGTTTCTGAACATGTAGGGTAGAGGATTCAACGTGGAAAATTTTTATGTTGAGGAACCTGTTTCAGATTATATCCGAGCTGCGGTTTCAACTGTACTCTCCATTCATGATGAGGTACAACTAAGTCTATAACCATAGGTTACATAAAGTCTTTGTGATGGGTTTTCAATCAACTGATTTATTTTTTTCCATCTCTTTTCTTTGTCTTTCTGATATTCACTGAACTATTAGCAGCTCTTACATTTGACCTTGTCCTTTTTTTTTTGGCACGGTGGTGATGTTTTCATGTCTATTTACATGATTTAACTAACTTTTTTTGTGTAATAAATATTAATTCAACAGAGATCTTTATCTTGTGTCTTTATAGGAGCCAATGGGAGATATTCTTGTACTTCTTACCGGCCAAGATGATATCGATGCAGCGATTCAGATGCTTACAGAAGATTCTCACAGTAGAAAGAAAGGTAGCTTCATTGAGGCCAATAAATTGTTTCTTATCTAGAAGGTTAATTTGAAAAATATTTGTTTCACTTTGTTCTCTTGCAGGATTGCTTATATTGCCTCTGTATTCTGGACTACCTCGTGCAGATCAGGTAATTTATTTTCTTTTTTCAGTTCATCAAGAGAAACAAACAAACCATGTCAACCCCTTGTATTATTCTAAATTTATTGAAACCTGGTGTTTCATTTTCTTCTATCTTGTTTGTAGGATCTTGTATTTTCCCCTACTCCTCGTGGGAAGAGAAAGGTAGTAATATCCACAAATATTGCAGAGACATCATTGACATTGGAGGTAAAAAAA